AAAAAAAAGCAATGTAAAGACTAACTTGTTTTTTCAAGGGAAATACAAATGAATGGTCCAAGAGCACACTGTTGCTATGTAAAGGAATACATGTCCCACTTCAAGCTCATCAGCTTCTCTCTGTGTATATACCCATGGCAGATGGACAAAATCAAGCATTAGGAAGGAAGAATTTTTAAATAATTTACAAGACCTCAGACTTCCATTTTTACTTTCCGTTTTACATATTTCTTCTCAAATACAGACTATCATTCCTTTAGCAGAATTCATTTAATAAAATCATCTTATATCCTAAATCTTTAGACAAAAATAATGAATATTATTTACCCTAATGAATTCAATAAGTGTATTATAAATGTAGGCTCCCTTCGGCAGGAAAAAGCAACTTCCAGGACTGAGTTCGTGAAAGAAATATAATTCTTGATCCTGGGGAAAAAAAAAAAAAGCAAAAGAATATTTATATATGTATATAACATCAATATAATATTCACTCTTGAGTTCAGAATATTTCAGTTAGTCCTATATTTTAATTAGTGCCAACCCTGAATCAAATAAACCACATAAATGTTTCTGGTATATGATTTAATAGTATAGAATTGCAGTTGATTTACAACTTAACACAAGTATGTTCCCTGCCTGTTACATTCCTCAATCCAGTCAAGTTTACCTAAAAGTGGCACAGAGGAAGGGTCTATTTGTTCTCTTCTACTATCCACAGCAGGAGCTCTCATGGTTTTTAATTCCTCAAAGCTCTAAGATTGAGATGATTTTTCATTTTCTTTCTTTTTTTAATAGGCAGGGCATAAAGGAGACTGGGAAAAAGACACTGAAAATGAAATAGATGATGGAGATGAAGTTGGCTGATACTGGGTCATTACTGAAAGAAACACACTCTCCTACCTCCTTGCCCACCACCGTCTTCACCAAATACCCAAGCCCTCAGGGAAGGGCCCACCAATAGCTGTTGGCTTCCTTACTGCTGGAATTTATGGCAGGCAGTCAAGGGAGCACAGCAGTGGATGCTGCCTCCAGCTCAAGCTTCATAACCTAACAACCGAGGACCTCTGGCACAGAGGGAACTCTATTTTAGGGAGGAATGTTTTTATCAAACCTAACTGCCAGTTTAGAAGACATTCAGGGGAAGAGAGATAATGGGTAGAGGAAATAACATCATAGAATCCATCGGTGACTTATGGTCTTACCTTGAACAAGTAGACTAATCTTTCTGGGACTCAGTTTCCACATCTTTAAAATGAGTCAGTGAAACTAGTTAGTTTCCAAAGTCTAGTTTTCCCAGCTCTATGAAACGCTGCTGCATTTCTTTTACAGAAAGCTGTAGATCATCAGCATTTGTTCTCAGTAAAAGTAGTAGTTAAAATGCATTTTTGTGTGGTACTGAGCACACTCCAGAAAGATAATGTGGACAATCAGTACATATTTACAGCTTACACAGGACGAGTATCAAAATTACTTCAAAACTACAGCATCTCTTCAAATAAAAATGAAAATAACTCAGTCTAGACACATCATAGTTCTTTAACATACCCTCCCAATTTTCCTATGATCTCGGTTTTTAGCTTCCTCTTGGAACTTCTCCCACTCTTTTAACATTTTAGGATCTGGGAATGAAATGCCATAAATTCTCTGGAGAGTCTCCATATCTGCTTTGCCTTCCCAGTATGTGGAGGAATTCTGAAAACAAGGATTAATAATAAAACAACATTCAAATATGTAAATATCTCACTTATTTTAAGAGTTAGATGTTAGTTCACAAAGTCATAAGTCAAATTCATATTAGTTTTTTGACAAGAAAAATAGCATAAAAAGTACACATTTAGTAAATGTCCCCCAATTGCTTT